TCAGTCGCTGGCATCTGAAGGTGATACTGTCAGTTCAGGGTTTGCTCCTCCACCTTTCCCTCCAGTCAGACCTTCAATGATGCCTGTGGATCCTAGAGCACCTTTAATGCGACGGGGACCCCCTTTTCCTCCTCCTCCTCCTGCTGGCATGTATGGACCACGTGAATGTTTTCCAGTACCAGACTTCGGGATGCCACGCCCTCCACTGCCAAGTAGGTAGCTTTTGTCAGCATTTCCTTCAAGTTGATGCACATCAGTGCTTTGTGCAGGTAGTGAGTAACCGCGCTGGGTGAACACTTACACCTTCACTTGCACGTACTTCGCCTCATTTCAGCCAACTCAGAGCATCTTTCCTGATTAAGGTTAATTGCACTTTCTTTTTCACAGTTGTTCACGTTTGTTGATAAAAATTTTTACAGATAGCTTTGGCTGGAAAAGACACATACTCCTCAGCATTTAAAGGGTTATTGTTTGGAGTAGGAAAGCAAGTAGATGGTTTCCTTAATTCTTTTCCTCCTACAAGGTTGCATCATATATAGATCTTAAAAGTTTTCAGCCTTTAGCTTTGACTCAGTGCCCATGCAAAGGCAGGCATTTGGGACATATCAGACTGAAGGGCTTCTTTCTGCCTCCTGCTGTTCTCTGATTAATCTGTGAAGAACTAAACTGTCTGTCTCCCAAAATAGAGGGGAGGTATGACAGCCAAGGGCTGCTAGAGCAGACCAAAGGGTATGGTGGCAGCAGCAACCCATTAACAGTGACTGGCTGCTGCTGTGAGCCTGTCACAGGTAACTATGGAGAAAAGTGATTGTTTTGTCCTCCTCCTTCCTTTGTCTCTTGGAAGCTTAACACCTGACCTAAGTCTACTTTGCCCACTACTTTTACTCCACCTAGTTCTGTGGGTCAGTGCTGAGCAGCAGTAGCATGGGGTGGGAGGAGCAAGGATGTTGTTAGTGTGATACTAACTGGACTGCTCTTATTATCCCACAGTAAGAAATCCTTTTCCAGTGAGATCTTATCCTCACTATCCACCACCCCACCCTGGATTTTTGCCTCCACCACCTCCTCCTGAAAACAGAGTTGAGCCACCTCAGTCAAATTCATCAGCAGTAGAACAACCTGACCCACAGCAGACTTGACAGTCATTTGAGTGCTGTGCTGAACTCTTACTGTACTCTACAACTGGCATCTCTCCTTATGTTAAGTAACCATTGTTACTTAGGTTTTGCTCAAATTGAAGCTTAATAGAAAATCTTCAGGATAGTGTTTTGTAAATAAAGAATGAAATAACTATGAATATTGTGAATAAGTGATTTCCATTGTACAATAGCCATTTTTAAATTATTTCTAACTTGACTAATCTCAAAGGCGTATAAATTTAAATTATGTGAACCATGTTTTAAAAGTCCAGCTGCTTTTGTCCTTGTTTAGCTGAACAGGGACTCTCTCTGCATGCCAAAAGTGATGGTTGCAGCTTTATGAATAGATGTGAAAACAAACTGAAACAGTTAATAAAAGTCTACTGAAAATGAAAGGACTGTCACTGGAAACATTGTACTACAGAAGTGGTTGAAGTGAATAGGTATTAATATTATTCCCTACTACCTGCATACTGGTAGTTGTATCTTTCAGTTGTCAGAGCTTTATAGAGGGACAGTTGCCCTGCCACTACAGAGGGAGAGAAGGGGAAGTAGAAATATAAAGCAACTCTCCCATCACTCCTCAAAACTGGTAGTGTTGTTTGAAGATGTATAGATGTGTTTATGACACAGGAGCAGGAGTCATGGTGCTGTGATGCTTGCCTTTGATGAGGCATGTCTGCAACAAACAGGAATTTTTACAGTATGCAGATAAAGTCAGTTTATTAGTCTTTAACACTGGCAGTTGGGAAGCTGGGTGGGACAAAATCACCCTTTCCCTATTTCTTCAGCTCTGACGGTGGAAAGCACTTGGGCTTTAACAACAAAGTGGCCACATGGGCTGGGGGAGGAGCTGTGAGCATGCCTGCGTATCCTGAGGTATAGTACACGTAATTAAAACTGCAGGGTGCAACACAGAATTTGTCTAGAGCAGGCAGAGAAGCAAATATACCAAATACACTTACCAAAACAGCCAACAGCGGTGAAGACCATGTTGCTATGGGAAACATCTAAAAAGTCCAAACAAACACAGCCGTTGAGACATGAATTGTGTCTATGTGCATTTTGTAGTGCTTGTGAGGCTTCACAAAATGCACAGAATGAAGAAAAAAAACAACTTAAGAGGTGGCAAACCACATCATTTTGGGCCTGTAAAAGCAGTTGTTGTGGTGCCTTGTTCACCAGTTTGTGCCTCTTTCCTCATGGCAATGGCCATCACAACAGGCCCAGACAGGGCACTTTACTGCAGCCAGGGCACAGGCATTTCCAGACAGAGCGTCCCTCCATGTTTACTGACTTGTACAAGCTGAAGACTTATGCTAGAGGCCTTTGGCAGTTTAGCTTCAACTCAAAACCCACATAATTACTCACAACACAATCATCTCGTAGGGGACCCTTTAAGGTAAATAAAGCAGGAAGCTGTTTTTAGCGAGCCCCCACTTGCTGCAGCTCAGCAGCCATCCCCCTCCACCCCCAGTTCTCTTCGTGCACATGCAGACACCAGAACACAGTTTGAGCCTGTAACACAACCTGCATCCACCCCATAATTAGAGTTACCAAAAAAAGTGGGCTAGAGGTTTTTTTCTGAGTGCTTAGGTCAAATCTGCAGAGTGACTGCTGCTCAGGGCTCCTGCTCCTACCATCATATACTTCCACATCACTGTATTTCAGCTGCAGAACTCTTCTATGGCTCATCCCTGACACTTCTTTATTCTCCTTCCTACTTCCAGTTTAGTCCTCAGAGGCATTTAGTTAAGCCTTCATACTTAAGCTATTAAACAACAGATTCTAGCAACAGACATTTTAATGCATCATCCACTTTGAATTGTTTTAGTTGCTATTTACTTCAGCTGTTCCATCATTTTTAGCCCATGAGTTGGTTTCTAAAGGCTCTAAGTTTGCCTGAAAGACTTCACAGGGATTCTAGAAGGAATGACTTGGATTTGCCCTTCCCATCAGGAGCAACCAGAACTGCTAAGTATCAACTCACTCTTGCAGGTGGAGCCAGTGGATGCCCAGAGGTCCTTAGTTTGACAGTACTACCACTTTAAGAGCCCTTTTTTTCCCCTCCATCTCACCTTAAGGGCTGCAAACTACTTGTGAATGGAACTGTATCTTCTGAACACACACACACACACGGAACATTTTCTCTGTGTAGGCTCAATATTTGTTCCAGCTTGGAACAAAGTTAACTGCAAAAAAACCAACCTTACTCCACCAAAACAATTACTCCATGCCCGCAATGACACTGGAAGCTGCAGGGAAAACAGCAGACAGCTGGACTAAAATAATGCAGACTAAGATCATCCCACAGAGAGTGGAGTAATTTCAGAGGTTTTTTCCCCCAGTAATAGCCAAAAAATCTTATTTGCAGGCAAACAATTTGAGAACAAGCTCAGGTCAATGCAACATGAAGCAAGCTGTAGTAAACCATAAGGTGTAGTTAGGTGTGTTGAACAGAGAAGGGTCATGCAAGCATGTATGTGGGAAGTCCCTGTTCCCCAGTAGAAAAAGCAATCCAGTTTTAACAGTTGAGGGCTTGCATTCCAAGTTCCTGCTGCTAAATCTAGAATGCAGCAACACTTAACTTGGCATCGCTGTCCCTGCAGGAAAAACAAAGAGAAACAAAAAAACCCATTTAAAATCCCATTTGGGATTATGCAAGCTCAGAGTCATTTCACACGGTTTGTAAACTCCCACTCCAAATGCAAGCGCGCTGCCCACATCAGGACCATACTGCTTCAGCTTGAATCCCTTCCTCTGCATACCACTAATTCAGGATTGCTAAAAATACAAGCAAGCAACAAAACCAACTTCTATGTATTTCTAGACAACAGAACCATCAATCAGAAGTGTAATTCTCCAAGCACTGCTCAGCGTACATTTCACCACACACTCAGGCCCTACTGGCCTCCCCATGCTTGTAAAGTAAGAAAGATTACACTAGTCTGTATTAGATAGCTTGACTTCATACCCAGGACTTAAGACAAACCCAGTGATTAGACTGCAGACTGGATGCAAAAAAATCAGACATGGAGCTCTAACAATAGGCATCTGTTGACACAGCCCATATTCCACACTGTGGCTGGAACTGCAGCTAGAGAAAGGACTGCAAAACTCTCTCCCATCAAGTGGCCTGTTTCTCCTGCTCATCTATATTTTTCAGCATTAAATTAATTAAAAGCAAATCAGAAAATAGGTTGGACTAAAAAGAGAAACACGTTTATGTAACCAAAAGTTAAAACAAGTTACTTCCCAGCTGCATTAAAGCCATTCTCCGCAGAAATGCAGTAATCTGCAGAGATAAAATTAACATCCCGCAGCTCTGTTTAAGCCAAAGGACACAGCATTTGCTTCAGGAAATCGCACAGAAAAAGCCAGAAATCTTGATCACTTTACAACCAGATTTCAGGTGCGGATGCAGAACAATCACTATCAGATTTCACTGCTACATGAGCCTCCCTCCCGAGGCTGCGCCCTGAAAGGCATCAAGTCCCATCACTTTGCTGGAATATGAAAAGCTGTTATTTACCTTATCTTTATTACCCACCACATCTTCTCAGTACGCTTGCAAATGATCCTGCTTGGCAAGTCTAGATCTAGTTGACTGCTTAAACCATGAGGAGTGCAGGAAGTCTCAGGCTTGGTAGCAGTTTGGACTACAAGGAAATGGAGATGCAGAAGCTGAAATCAAACCAGTGCTTGGCACGCACACACTAACAGCCACTCTGACAATCCTCACAGCACAACCAGCCAGTACAGGGCATGGCAGCTCCTCAGAAGCTTACCAGGCACTTGCAGCTTCCATTCAGAAGGCACAGCTACGTACTCTGGGTACGGATAAAACGTCAAACTGAAGCATTGCAGGTATTCAGAATCTATTTAATAGTGGGACACCAAAGAAGTACTACACATTGTTTTTCTTGAGCACATTAGATTTTGATTTAAGCAATTGCAACAGATGCAGCAGGAACTTCTCAAAAATAGTCTTCTATAGTCTATAATCCACAGTTTACTGTATCAGTCTAGTAAGTTATATCACAATACACTGTTTGTGCTAACTGGTCTGATAGCCTGATCTTTAGCAAAGCATCCTTCCCCTTTTTCCACCCCTGCCAAAAACAATGGCAAAACTCAGCCAAATTAAAAAAAAAAAATAAAAGAAAAAATACTGTATGACTTAGTTTAGACTCTTTTTGTTGACCTAAACACAACGGGAGCTACCAGTTACACACAGCTTATCAACGATGGTGCATTTTAATCCTAAAAGTCTTCATGCTGATACAATAAAGTATTTTATACAGTGATCAATTTTTAATGCTTTATTCATTGATTAAAAGAATATACATTTAACATAAACCATACAACATCAGTCATCAATTCAAACATTCAGCTGGTTTCCTTACATTTTCTGTCAGGAGTTTTTTTTGTCTGATCACATTTATAAGATAAAATCTCACCACATCTGGCATATACACACACTGTGCCAGTGGATTCACTCTACTGATGTACATATAAAATCCGCATGGTATGTGCTCACTGGAGACAAAACAGCGCACACCTGTCAAAAGGTCATTTTAATATAAGATGGTAAAACCATTTGTAAAACACATATAAACTTTTTCCATAAATAGAATCATATCTGGACATCTGTTGCATAAATTGTGTTTTCCAAAGCTTACAATATAGCAGCCAGGTCTCAGCACTGCTGGGCACCCACGTTGGCCACTTACTTTATTATTGCAGACTGTCCTTTAAACATTAAATGCACAACATTCGTACCACTTAAAACTGGGGTCAGGTGGAAGTCTCACAGAGACCACGTCTGTACCGCGGTTGCCCTGAAACAGTTAAATCGGCTTTTAAAGCCTCTCAGATATAACAAGATTTTAAAACATACTTCATGGAATGTTCTTCATGCATCATAGCAGCTCATACCTGTGATAGAACAAGCTTTGTATTTGCTTCCTTTCCTTCCTTTACATTCACTATTCACAGTGAAACAGGTGCATGTTTGTTAAGAGTTCTGAGGTTGCTGACTGAGCCACAGCACAGCTGTGTACCACAGGTCGAAATTCGACCTTATATATTACAATCTAGCAGTATCTGGCTGGCCAAAAGTTGGCCTGCCCCTGCCAGCATGTGGGCACTTCTTCGTTTTTAATCTATTCTTTGGCAGCTGACACAGGCGCTGACAGAGAAAATCCAGTGACTCGGTTGCTAGGGATTTCACGACTAATGTTTGTTTGCAGGTGTATACCTTAGTACTGAAGTCTTCACTGTTATGTTTTTACCTCATCGGAGTGCACATTCTTGCTTTTTTTTCTTCAAAACTTTGGCCCAAAGCTAACTTTTAAGATGACAGAACATGAGAATAAACAAGGAGGAGTTTGCAAAGAATCCAAAAGACTACATACACTCATGGAGTGGATCTGGAAGTGCAGGTACCTGAACAGCTAGTGTTTCACCCCACCACTTACCAGCTAGGAAAAGCTGAGAATGGGAGTTAAGTCATGCTTCAGAATCGGCACGTGAAATAAAGCAAGGTGAGAGTCTTACGATGAACAGCCCTGGATAGACTTCTCTTCCTTTAAGCCTATTAAGTAGCATGCTACCAGATTAAACACACAATGACAGCACAGAAATCCACTGGGCTATGGATATGGGTATTAAAAAGGGTTGGCTCCTGAGCACAGAACTCCGATACAAGAGTAAAAATCATTCCAAATGCAGTTATCAGTAGAAGTAAAAAGTTAGCTGGCAACCTCGGACAGCCTTTGGCTGTGCCTCTGTAAGGTTTGGTAGACAAGTCCATTAACCGTGAAAACCCTAAACACTGCCACTTTCAGCTTCTAAACCAATACCCGACTACGTTCTTTGATCAAGAAGTAGAGTACACATATATAATTCTATATAGCTAATACTGATTAAACACAGCACAAAAGGGGTTAATTCACACTACTGAAAAAAAAACATAATAGGACCCTACTTGCATATGTAACCACAGGAATTTTAGATAAGGAGCTAAATGCCTTCACTGAAGCTTTGCATCTCTCTGTAGAAGTGACAAGTTGGCTCAGTGAAGACACTGAGCAGCTCTATGTCCATGACAGCATGCCAAGGTCGACCCAATCCGAGAGATACTTGCTCGATGAGATTGTGTACTGGATCCACATCCTGATCAGCCAGTTCTCCTTGGTCAAAATCAATGCTTTCTTCTGTGACTTCTAGAACTTTCAGGTCAGAGCCACGAAGACGAGCAATTGCTATGAGATTATGAGCCCAAACTGTGTAACCTAGGGGGAAGAAGAAGAAGTTGCTCTGTCATTTTGCTACATGGCTTTTTTTTTTTTTTTCCCAGAAGTACATAGTAGCAAATCATCTCAGTGTCCTTCTGGACCTATTTGTCACCTTCCATCTGGCAGAATCCCCCTACAGCATGGGGAGTTTTTTTTGGTTACAAGTGGTAAAGCCCCATCTTGTATTCTGAATGAAGAATTATCAAAAATATTTCAGGTAGTTTGACCAAGCTTTTCCAGATCTATTTTTTTTCCACTATCTGTAGAAAAGTGGACTTCCTTACTACAATTTATACCTACAATTTCAAACCTGTGATTGCTTTGTAATAGAAATAAACAGAATTAAAACAAAAAGTAATCCGTTATTTCAAGTGAATGTATAAAAGGATTGTCTTACAACTGTTTGCGCTAAAAAAAAGTGTTTGCTTTTGTTATACTAAAGGTAGATTTAACAAAAAAAAAAACCCAAACCATGCAAACCAAAATCCTCTCCAGGAAACAGGGCACACCACTATATAAATATTTAAAAAAAAAATAAAAATCTACATATATCTTGTTATTCCATCTGAGATTTAAAATAATTACAAAGCTTCCCCCTCTTCCCATTAGTATATATTGGCACCCTTCTTTAAAAACACCTACTGCCTTGTTACCTGTTAGCTTTCTGTACCCTGGCTAAGGCAAATGCTGGGCTCCTTATTCAGATGCAAACCACAAATAACCTGGGAACTTCCCTTTATTGGGAGCTCTGCCAAGTCAGCCCTTCCACTGCAAAAGGAAAGGCTCGCTTCTGCCTTCATCATCATTCTGTTGGTAAGACGCCCTCTTAGATTCTGCAGTCTACACAATATTTGAATAGGGAAAATTAAGCTGCTGGGAAATTAAAACTATATGCAAATAAAAGCCTTTTTCAGAGCTAATAGCAAAGGAAAGGAGAAGGAAAAAAACCCCAAACAGTCTCAAAACAAACCACCACCAGCAGCAACCCCCGAGTAGTATTGGAAACTGAAAAATAACCTCTTCAGCAGAAGGAGAAACCCGAGCACTTACATATAAAGTGAATTATGGAGCCAGCAACCATTTTATGGTAAGCCTCAGAAAACATAAGCGTGAGGCTAAGAAGCTGCACTGAAACACCACAGCATTCTAGATCTTTCTTCCTAGTCGTGTTCTTTTCACAGTTGCTATTCTTGAAGAAAGATGCTTATGCTACAGTACCAGAGGAGTTATATTCACAGCTTTAAAACGATCAGGAGGCATTTATAAGCAGCTTAGCTAGCTTCTGTTACAAGGAGGGGAGAAAAGAAGGGGAAAGAATCTAGATCCCAACACCAGAGCAAGGCTAATACTTGGCCATTCTCTCCCCCAGGTATACATGACATCTCTCCAAATGAAGGTGTAGCAACACCTATTTGCTACACAGAACCGCAGAAGGCATTTGCTTTCCCAACACCCTGCACAAACTAATTCCTTCTGCTGAATAGACATGTGCTGGTATTAAAAGATACTTACGCTAGCTTATTTCAGGTATTTCACCATATTTTTAAGTTTAGATAATGCACTAGAGGACTTCCCCACAGGAGGAGGATAATTTAGGGCAATACTTTTTTTTTTTAAGGCCCTCAAACTTGTACCCAAATGTTAGAAGAAACCCATAAAATGCACAGAGTGGTACAGTCATGTGCCAGTATCCAAAACCAGTCAGACCTGGAAATTATAAAGGAAAGGCAGCTGAACTGATCTCTCCCCACAGCCTTCCTTATAATTTCTCAGTAGAAGACAGTGGAAAAACCTTTTTCTAGCACATACAGCACGACCTTCTGACTGCAACCAAGGAAATGTGAACGTACAGCCTTCACTGCTGAAGGTTTCTCCCTGTTTGTGCTGAATGACCGGAGCTTTACTCCCCCAAGCAGTCAGAGGACAGCTTATTCTTATGCAACACAATACAGAGTCATTATTTAACTCCTTCATGCATCGTCACACCTGGTCTTGGTAAGCTGATTCCAGCACAAAGAACTGTTCTGAATTATTTCAGTTTCAGGTGCCTTCAGATTTGCTAAACAACTGTAACCTCCAGCAAATACTGTACTGATGAGAGAGCTGAATATAAATGCAGGTTTTTATTATTTGCAATGATATGGCAAATAAATAGGTGGGATAAACCTAGTTCTGGTATTATTGGTGAAACCAATGAACCCACTGAGCCAACCTCCTCTGCACTGTACTTTTCAGCTTTTATCTGCTGGCAAAGTCTTACCAAACTGGTAACAGACTTCCTATCCCTCAGTCTTAGGGCACTTCCCCATGTTATTTACAAACAGGAAGCACAATCATTTCATCTTGCCAGCATATGTTTTCAGTGCTCATGGTCACATAACAGGCCACCTGGTAGAACTTGCACAATGCAGACCACTTTCAGGATAAGCCCCCTTGAATGCTCAGTTCTTAGTCATCCTCGCTTCTGTGAAAAGCCTAATAAAATTCTATGTGAGTTCTTAACAGAAGTTAAGAAGCTACAAATACTTTCAGAACTCACACACAATAAACACCTTCAAATTTTCAAACACAAAAATATCTGTACAACAAAACGCATAGCAACCATGCAGCAGACTTTTGAACACCACTCCACTAAAACACATTGTGATTAAAAAGGCCAAAGTGTTGTAAGTATTTTGAAGTCATATACTACGCGCACAGAGTATACTACCTACCATGAACAGCCAGGAGAGACAGCCTTGTGCACCTCCAGGCTAGTAAGACAAGTGGATCTTCATTCCGGTTGTCGCTGAGATCTGGGAAACCAGACATATCTATCACATCATTCATTAGTATAAAGTGAGTGAGGAACTTGTCATACTGCCTGGATATGAGGTCAACAACAGCCCCTGAAACACAAGTGATGTAGCTGTCAAAGTGAATCCTCTCTAGGGGGATACTGGGCTTAAGAATCCTTAACATATCATCACTTTTGACATCAAAAGCCATTATATAGACCCGAAGATTAGTGCTGTTGCGAGTCAGTGCCTTCCAATTCTCATCTTCTGGCATACTGTCCAATGACTTGTGCATTATGGAAACACTGTGGACCAGGAGAGACAGTCGATGCAAAGGCACATGGTTGCTATCAGCCAGGACTCTTGCCATTTCAGCTGTAAAATCACAGAAATCCAAAGCGAGCGAACGCAGATTCACAAAGCGCTCCAATTCAACCGCGGTGATAAGAGTGGTATTACCAGGGATGTGGTTGTCCAATAAGCTCAGATGTTCCATGGTGTTGGCTATAGGGTTTGACAAGGAGGACAATGATGTGGGAGTTACTATTTGCAGCATAAACCCACAAGACAGCCATTTCAATTGCCTGCTATTGCCCAATATCTCTTCAAACAGCTGTTGGATTCTGCAAGTAAACAAAACAGACAATGATCCTGTTAAACATGGTTTAGTCTTACCAAATGCATACCATTCTATTTTTTATTCCAGATTCTTCTTTCATTTAATGGCCTTATTCTGTAGGAAGGTGCTATTATTATGGTTCTTGTGAACTACAAGTGTTAGAACCTGACTTTGCAGACGTCCCACAGCAATTTAACCCTCACTGCATGGTGAAAAGGTTAAAACTCGAAGCCATCTTGTGAAAAATAAAGTATTTTGTCTTTCAAAAACAGTGGCACACTATGAACCTTCATTTCATGTATTTTCCAGCACGTATTTAACACCCTCCCACATACATTTTAAGGTTATGCAAATAAGAAAACCTGTAATGCTTTTAAAACATAGCTCTTGTTTTTAAAAACAGCTTTTTGTATTTGCTAACCTCTCCAGAACTGCAAATTCAGTATGGAAAAAAAAGTAATTTTCAATAAAAGGTTGCAGAAACTTGACTTTGAGCATGAGTCAGAATGATCTCAAGCTACCTGCTTGACTCTGCTCATTAAAGGGTAAAGAACAAGCATATAAGATGATTCTGTAAATAATTCCAAATGTACAGCTAACTGGATTTTCAAGTGTCAACAGGTTTTAAGTTTTACCAAGACAACTTGGACCTGGTACAATTTCAACCTCAGACAAATTCAAATGGCAAGTGCTCTTTGAGCTTATGTTTTAGGACATGTACGTGGATGAGCATTTGATCTCAAACCCTGGTCAGCCAGAGGAAAAAAAAATAATCAGTGTTTAAGGGAAATCCACAGCTGAGCCAGGTTATGACAGTTCCACAAAATGTCAAGAAAATAAGATGTGAACACCTTCAGCACAAAACAGCAGAAATTTGTGCCTCAAATCAGCTAGTGTTTTGCACAGAATGCTTCTTTCTTCATTGCTAGGAGTACCTGCATACTTTAGGCATCTAAGCAAAACACTGTTACAAAGTTGTTATTCTCATCCATGTATCTTTAACAGAGATATTAAAGGCTTATTTTGCCCAATATCCTGACTGACAGCAAAGAAACACTGACTCCTCAAGAAGTGCAACAGAACAAGAAAATCACGTAGGGGCATTTCTCAAATTATCTCCCTCATTTCCAAACACTTGTAACTCAGACCCACAGGCCAAGGTGGCTCCTCGTATTCACTAACGCCCAGGGACCTCACTTCTACAAGTTTATTCACATATGCGTTTAGCAACTGTAACAACCAGTAACAGAGAATCCTGCAGGGTGATTCCCCCCCCCTCCTCGTGCTCACTCTGAGCAGGAAGCTCAGAGTGAGCACCTACCACCTTTGATGCCCCATAATCCTTCTGTTTTAAGTTTAGAGATCAATCCTTACTCATCCTCTCCCTCTGCAAATCCTTATTCATCCTCTCCCTTGCTTGCATGGGCTTTCTTCTCCTAAAAACATACCATGTTTGCAAGGTCTGACTTGTCTTTGGAAGTGGAAAAGTTTTTGTGATTACTGTATTTATTATACACCTCAGAACAGTTCCCAAGACTTTGCCTAGTATAGTCATCAGGTTTAAAGACTTCTTTTCTTCCAGATATTCTCTGATTTTCAGATTACTTTTTTTTAGCTGAGGACTGGCAACTGCGACACAAACAAAACAGTTTTAAACACCAGGTCAAGAGTCACAGATAGGGTAGTTTTGCTGTTTTATTCCTAAATTGTTCTACAGCTCAGATGAGCCCGGTTTGATCCTGGCAATGTCTGTTTCACAATTATGCCTGATGATGCTTAAATTGAGGGCAGATTCTCTGACAATCTCTCTACCTCCAAAGAAATCTCTCTACCACAGAAACCTCTCTAATTTCTTCCAATGAATGATGACTTTTCCCTCTCCACTCTCACCATACACACCTACAAATGGCATTGTAATGGCTGCAGCAATGGTTGTTTATTTTGTAATAGTAAGTAGTCAATCTTAATAGTGCTTGTAATATTTTACAGAACAACTGAAGAGATGACGTATCAATTTTGAGATGCTTAGTAGAATACAGAACACTACAATCTATATGACAGATTGCTGTCAGTCAGGATATTGTCTCACAGCACAAAAAAAAAAAAATCTGTTTAAGTTTTGCTTCTCATGTGACTTAAACATCTAAGTTAGAAGAGTACTGTTCTAGTACTCACACAATTTAACACAGAGAAATACAGTACAGAATTCTGCAGCTGCAGGGTGGGTTTTGTCCTGTATGGGAATTGCATTAAATAACTTTTTAAAAGAGAGATACTGATTTAATGCTATCTACACATCAGCTTATTAGTGCAAGCAGCAAAGTATTTACACAGGTATTTAGATTTGTGGTGACAAGTCTATCAACCTGTAGGTTCTAAGAACATTCCTCAGTTCTTTGCCAATTTAATAAAAAAAAAGATCAAACATGTCAATAGAGAACACTTAAGAGTAATCACTTTTGGATTGTTTTTAATACCGATTTGTGTAAGTCCAGACAAGAAGCACCCATATAAACCACAGGCCATTAGTTTTAACATATTTCAAGTAAGTCTTTCAAACACCCTATCAGGGGTTTTTCCTCCCTTGCACCCTCTTGAGTATATCCCATTTTTCATAAGCAGACTGCGTCTAACTGGAGTTTGCAAAAGTTTGAACTGTGTTCTAGAAATGTAGTCATAGTAAGTGAGTATTTGGGAATTAGCACCCACTTTATTATCATAGTAATTTTTACTTCAACTGCTTAGCATGTAGTACAATATTTATCCTAACTTATGCAGTTATCTTAAAGCTCACTTACGAAACTAAAGTTTAGGCATGGGTTAGTATGTGTAACACAAAAAATAAGCACAGCTCAGCACATGCAAGAAAGTAACATAACCTAATGATGCCTCAACAAGTATACATCAGTCCCCTTTCCTTCCTGTAAGGAGCAATTGTGGGATGTTCACTATCAACCTGAATCCTACGAATGATCAGAACAGAACAGATTAAAAAAAACTCAAAATAAGTTAGTTTCCCAATTAATGTCTGAAATGGTGTTTTCAGCCAAAGGACAGACCAAGGCCTGACTAGACAAGACAATTCGCTATTTAAGCCCAAAGAACAGCCCTGAGCAGTACTGAAGCACATGGATGGCCCTGGACAGAAAGCAAACATACTACTAAGATGCATATGGAGCCCCTTTGCTTAATTCAAAAAGGTCAATCAAAATATTTTGTTTAATAACAGAGGCTAAACTCATTCTTTCGGGAATCAAACCATCTGAACCACTCAGATAAATCATGGGAAGCAGATTTCAGAAAGCCAAAATTTTAAACTCTTTGTTTAACTCTAGACAAATGCATTATTTATGCTGATGCTGAGCTCCCAACACTAAGGAACTGAGCTGTAAAGAGAATTTTAGAAAGGAACTAGGGACATGTAAGCTACACAGAAAAAGAAAGAGCATTACGAATCCATGCTGATCAGTGCAAAAGTGTTATTTTTGAAGATACAATCCAAAGCCTCCTCTCCCTCAGAACAATCCTTAGTCTTAACTTGGAGGAGCATCCTAATAGTTCTGTACTAGCAGAGATTCCACCCACAGTCTGTTACACCCAGCTCAATGATATGGACTTCAGGAAATGTCACACTTTCTTCCCCAACTGCTTTAATTGCAGGAAGTTTCTGAAACAGCTAGTAATGTTTATCACCATATGGGTTCCAAAATCCTCAACTATCAATAATGCTGTCTCCAAAGGTTGCTCAGCATCTTCCAGGGTTAGTTACCAGCACCAGTGCTTTACAACTTAACTGATGCAAACACCACAGACAAAAGACAAGACTAAAGAGCTATAAAAATTTACTTCCTGAAGTAAATCTGCTGCTAGTGCTAATGAACTTGAGAATACTAAACAAAACACTGACAGCTTTCCTTTCATTTAGAAAAGGACCAGCAGGTCCCAAATACATTGTTTTATTCTAGAAAACAGAAAAACCCCACCAAAACCAAGCAAACAAAAAGGAGGCAGCATTTATTCGCTCATTCCAAAATGTGCAAAGGTCAACATTCACCCAAAAGACTAACTTGAAAGTAGATACTGGGCTTTGAGAGGTTTATGGCTCTGAAACGTGCATACTTATTTTTGTTACTTGTTCGAAGAAATGTTTAACCATGCACTCAGCTGAGTAAACATCTGCTTAGATGGCTCTCTTCAAACCCCTTGGCAAAGATTTGATTATATATTTATGTTTTGACAATAAAGGGTATGAAAAAAAGGAGCTTTCACTAAATCAGCCTTTTACCTGCACACAGCACAACAATACATGTATTACATATGCTCCAAGTTCTGCATTCTAAGCATAATGGATGACACAGTATGTGACACACATCTGTATTTGCACTGTTTTGCAAACTTATGACCGGACCAAACCCTTAACTTTGATGGTTGTGTTCACATACATAGATCTGATCATATACCTACGCTACTTCTAGAACCACTCAAAAAAAATACCAGCAGAGCTCACAAGTGGCTGTAATTATTTCGCTCCTAAGCTACTGAGAGAAAGATGTTTAAAGAGACACAAATTAAAATCATGGTATTCAGAATTTATCTGTATGGAAAGTTTTATCAGAACTGCTAAAATAGTTAACTTAATATCACTCCTTCTATGGAAATTTATTCCAAAGTCAGTAGCTTTTGACACTGTATTTAACCTTTTCCAAAGAAAAACTAGCTATTCTGATGGTAAGCATTCAAGGACTGTACCATATGTAATTATGGCAAGCTACAATACACCTCTGCACTAAACAAGCACATTGTGAGCTACGTTCTTCCAGGAATTCTGCAAATACATAACCTAGTTCTAAAATGCAACTCAAAGTAAGTTGTTTGTATTTACGTTCTCTTTCAAGTTTACTTGCTACATGTCCTTAATTATTGTGAAATACAACAGATTACTTATTTTTCTAATTTTTCATCTGCAGCAATAATAGAGGTGCTGGCAACAACACGCCATCCTTCTTCCCCTTTTGGTGCCATTAACACATTGTTTCTAGAACACAGTGAAAAGAGGAAAGAAAGGATTCTCATCCTACTGAGAAAGGGAGAAATAAAAAGCAACAAAAACAGACTACTTCATGTGAATAGCAGGAATAGAAATCAACTCAATTTAAGAATCTAGATTCTCATCCAATTAAAACACTTAAAAGCTTTCTCAGTCACATATTTCAGGCATGAAAATCTGTGCTATGTTATCTGGTTTTATTATTTTACTGTATTTGATAATTTAAAGATATAACTTACTGCTTAATCTTCTTGCCATCAGGGTCAACCTTACCGAGGTATGTATTTGATATACTTCCATGTTGCTGCAGAATACTTATATCCCCAAAGAGACTTAACTTCTGGAGGTTCCTGTGAAACATCAAAGTAAAAAGGAATCGATAAGGAATCACTCTGGACAAGATAAGACACTGGCAATAAGAACACATTATTACATGGAACATATAGTCTGTTTTGGGAAACATCCTAGTGTCCCAGAATACAGACACATATGGAACTACAGAAAAAGACTGGAGGGGAAAAGGAAAACACAAACTGCTAAATCCAGCTGTAAAAGCAAATGCCAGTTTCCAGTCACCACAGTATTTTCAGTAGGCCAGCACCATAAAAAAAACTTTTAGCTGTGCTTTCACGCACTTTTTAGTCCTTGGAATATGTGTGTTAAGCATCACAGATGAAAACATCAAATACCTATTCTTTTTAACATTTAACACTTCATCCAATACCCAGACAGAATGCAACCACAAACAATCCTGCCTAAGCACTTACGTATTTCAGTTGGGTTATAAATGGGAGCCCAAACCTGCCTCAGTTGAGGCAAACACAAACCTGAGACAGGAAAAGCAAAAGTTCCCGACACCATGTCTAATTTCTGTTACATCAAATCAGGGGAACCTGTTCTAGCTTTTCCCATCAGCGATCAAAGAGGATTAGTGGTCCAACATGACATACAATTCTGATCTCTAGAAGGGATGCCTAAAAAGAAGTGAATGAGCATAAGTTTATGCTGGACATGGCTCAGCATGCTAGATGGTTTTCCTTTCCTTAGTACAGTTTATTTCTAGCTTGCATCTTCTATATTCCTAAAAATTACCAAGCAAGAGACATGGAAACGACTGCGGTGTTAGAGTCGTTGCGTGGCATTTACTTTTGAGATTTTTATTTTTTAAAACTAAGTTTTGTGTAACATTTTTAATACATGCTGTGAAGTAGATTTACTCCTAACATGCAAGGACTAGTCTGCAATTAATTAACATGGCAGAAACTCCAGTTTCATCACAACTGGATACATGAGTTGAATTAATCTTAAACAGCAGGTGCCAATTAACCTGTAGCTGACAATTAAGTGAGTTACATAAATCCTTATTTCTGCTGGCTTACAAATCATATGCTAATACTTCAGATCAGCTTTGAGGAAAACGCAGTACAATTACATTGTTCAAGCACAGGGAAGCTCTGGTGCCATCTCACTACTTCCGCAGTATGAATTGATATTCTACCAAGAGGAGGGGAAAAGAAAAAAAAAGAAGTATCAAGGAGTCAGGTTTCACATTTTTTAAGTAAGTATTAAATGCAGTCTGTAACTGGGATCTACCATAAATCATAACTTTTTTCATTTGAAGTTCCTGTATTCAATAACCATATACTAGTATCCTGAAATCTACTCAATGCTGCATTTGCTGCTTTTCTTCTAGAGGTGAAGAACAAGCTCATACCAAGACCCACATGCTTCCTGTTGAGTCAGGCAAATACTGGGGCAAAATACCTAGATTTTAAAACTGTTTCAGAAATTTTAACCATTCGATATCTAGTCTTTAAAATACAGGACTACTGCACTGATGACACGTTAATATAAACTGAGCCCTGACCACATGCTCAATATTCTATGACTCTGACTTTCTGACAAAGATAATGCCTGATCATACTGAAGAACAAGCTTGGAAGGGAAATCTGTGAAGACATGGGCACCACCTCTTCTTCCCTCAAAACTTGTAAGAGTCTGCTATGACAGGGAAAGCAGCAGAAACCTCCACCTGGTGTGAAAGGCAGTGTTCACAGCCAGTGCCGTAATTAAGCTTTTATCTTCTGATCTTGGTGACTTAATTCTGAGAAATGAGACAAAATGCCATCTTCGGACAATTTTGTACCACCTGCATTGTTTTCATCACACACAGGTCTTGTTTTGTGCTACTCATACCCCCAGTGGATGCTACTGTAGGCAGGTATCCATTTTAGAGCCACCAAACTACAGGACACATGAAGTGCTTTACTAGTATCCCACATTTTTACTACATCTATTTGACTGCCATTTCACATGCTACAGAGACACATGAAGAAGTTCTCTGCCTCAAAACTTAAGCAATTAAAACATCTAGTAATTTTTCCATTCACAGCACAGTTATTACCGTCAACAAACCTGGCCACAGTTCAACACAATATCAGATTTTTGTTACTATCTGCAGTGTCATATAATCTCTATGGCATTCAGCTCACATCTCATCTTTATTTCAGAGAGTTAGTAAAGTGATCGCTATTTAAATAAAATTTAGAAGGTAATTGTCATATTTTGCTAAAAGTCATAAGGGCATCTTAATCCTATGCACTACCCACACGCAGAGCTGGGGAAAAAACGTGTTTTGGGAGGATTTCTAAGCAATTCATTTTCCATTAACTCAAAAAGCATGCTAAAGGCAGTAAGATTTTCACAGGCCTCATCTTCAGTTTTGATCAGTCTTTCTGAACAACCAAATTAAAAAAAAGAACAAAATGGCCTTGCTTACATTCAACATGAATAAAGTGGTATGTCACATACTGTATTGTTATACTAGTTTTTGCCAGTTTAAGCTGCCTGCTCAGACCAACAGAAGAGAGTCATTACAAAACCTCAAATATAGATGCAGTCTACCGTTTTGAGCCACTCACCAATTTCTGGTAACTCTGAGATGGATACTACAATTTACCAAGATACCACAGTTTTACTACAATCTTGCATTTTTGTTTCCACAGCAAAGATCAAACAGGTCACACAGATGAACACACTGCAGAGGAAAGGAGGGGGGCGTGTGCATGTTACTACCTTCCTATTTTTCTTTGTAAGCGGCTAAAGGAGAAACCATACTTTGGGGTTTCAGAGTTGCATAAAAGAACAGATTTTTTCTCCTGAATGATCAGGAGGTGCTTATTAGGTGCTATATGCACTGGAATGTCACCCTCCCACTTGCTTTCTAGAACTTAGTTTTGAAAAAAAACAATTTGAGGCAGCACAGATTACTAGGATCTCTTAAGAGCACTAAGCAAAAATTTGTCCCTCCAAATATTGCCACAGAACATTATGGCAACACACACCCCTTTGGTTTTGGTTTTTTTTTTTATAGGAAGAACATCAACTGTTCAGCAATAATATACCTTGTTACTTTGCTTCATTTACTGTCATAAATATAACAGGTCATGGGAAAGTTACAGATCACTAAATGGTACTAAAGTAGGGTTTATAATTAAATAAATTATGGATTTTTAGAGCTTATCACAGTCCCAGCGCTATTAAAGCAACATTTTGGGAGTAATATCCTGCTAACCACAAAATAAAGTTTCTGGCGACTTGAGCTCTACCTGAAATATAAGACAGGCCTAGAACATACCTTTTTGGATTATAACTGCCTGCCAGCAGCAACACTTGTCAGAGTATTTTCAGTTGTTTTTAAACCAAGTTGCAGACAAGCAGATACTTCCTTAATTCCATCAGAATTAGCAAAGGCCACACTGAAATATTTTTCTAGAGACTTAATATGCAGACTTGCTTAGAAATTAGCAATTTTATGTTGTACAGAAAATGCTTTTCTTAGCAAAAATGCACATTGTTCTCCTCTACCCAAGAGAGCATTTAGAAATTACATTACTTTTAGTCATTATTTTTCTTAGGTCCTGTGGTATTGTAAATCCTCAAGGAATTCTAGAGACATCTGAAGTACTTTTTTTTTCCTTCAAGGAGGGGGTGTGCGTGTTACTGTGTTGTTTAATAGTAGATTAAAAAGCCCACAACAAGATTACAAGGTTAAGAAACAGCATACCATGTCACAAAAGTAGATTTCTTCCTTCCCGGTTCTGAAGCATCAGATCGAAGTTCTTTGAACTTCTCTGCCAAAAAGCTATCATAAGGGCTGACAGGAGTTATGAAAGCACCATCCTGTTTTAAACTTAATTCCAAAAGGAATGCATTTACAGTGATTCAGCCACTCCAGAATTTAAAAACACTGCTGTTTCCAACATTTTGGAAACTAGAATAGCTATCCCACGTACAGGAACATACAGCAAACATAGGAAGGAATTATTAATTATCCTTGCATTACGGATGAATAAACAGAAGCAGAGAAATAAAATGACTGAACCACGGTCATCCCTTCAACAAAGCTAAGCATCAGGCAGATGACAATGCCTCCGGTTTAGACATGTCGTCACAGTCAGAACTAAGCAGCAATGTGGAATATGCTAATGCTCCTTCCCAAAGCTCTCCTTAAAGAGCTAAACCACAATGTTCCAATGCTCTACACACAAACCAATCGGTTATTGGTAGTTACCCTGCAAGAAAAAAAATACATCAAAATAAACTAAAACCTCTGTCTGTTCGAGGAGGTGAAAATTAGTCTATTCAGGAAGTAAATATGAATAAAAGCTCAACTGTTTAATGCAAACCCCCTCCCCAATTTTTTAAATGCTCATAAAGCGCCTGCTGTAATAACCAGGTGCCCTCTGTTCCCAAGTCATACATTATTCATCTCAAAACAAAAGAGCAGCGTGCAAATGATTTGCAGACATCAAAAAAGCACAGTAATGCAAATTCCTATCAAAATGGTAACTTTTCACCCCTGGTTTAGCACCAAAATTATACTAATCTACCAGAAAATAGGTACTGGAGAAACAACTACTTCTACATCGTATTTTACTGCAGTCCTGATCCACACTGGGCACAGAGAACCTGTAAAAAGAACTTTAGAAAGCAACTGTCCTTTTCAGAAAAAAAAAGGTGTACTAAAAGCCATGTCACAATGCATTTAACTTTGACAGCCTCAAAATTTAGTGAGATGGGGGGAAACATTCTAGTTTTTCCAACAAAACCCCAGGCAACATCTCCTGCAAATACTCTTTATTTTAAAACTCCAAGTGCATGTAGTCCAAGATATTTGTCTCAGATTAGATAATCACCACCAACATCACTTCAACATTTTTTCCACTTATGGATTTCCCAAAGATTCAACAGTTCAGCAAAAGCTCCTTAAACGCAAGAGAAGCCCAAACAAGACAGATGATCATGATCTGCATACCGAGGATTGGCTGGGCAAGAAATAAATGAAAACAAAAGTGAACTGGGACCCACGAGCCGTTTTCAGAAATAAGGTTTGTAACTCTCAGCCATCACAGCTGCACCACAGGGAAGTACCTGCTGGGCACAACAGAGCAGAGGAACTGAAAGTGTGACTTCACATACCCCATTTGCTTTCAGCTCAAACCAACGAGGAATTATCTGAAGTCCTCTTGCTACAATTCAAAATAAAGAAGGAAGGAAGGCCTCAAACTACGCTCTTATCTATCCAGAATCAAAGAGGGGTGGTGATCGGACCATGATTCAGTTATATGCAGCTTTCCAAAGGCCATCCACAATGTTTAACTCATCATAAAGATACCCTAAAATACTTGCAGTTTTGGGGTTTGGTTCTGGGTTTGGTTTTTTTTTTTTTTTAATTTCCTCTATAAGTAAAACTATATGCACACAGAGGGGAGGCAATATTAACCATTTCCTATCCTAAACTCTGAATGGCTTTCCAAACAGATTACAATCTAACATCCTTGTTTTCCTGTCTAGCTGCTGACTGGAGGCCATATATTAAGATATCTGATTATTATCTTTTTAAAAAGATATCTATCTTGATCACACCCACACACGGCAAAGAGAATGCAAGCAGTTTCACTTTAAAGAACTCCAACCTCCGAAAATTATCTAGCCTGCAAAAGTAATTCTGTAAAAAGCAGGATCTAAACACATCTTAAGTCCAAACAACAGGAAAATATTTCTATCATTTAAACTCAATTTGGTCAAGAAAATCCTACGCCTGAAGTATTTTTTCAAACAAATCCAAATCTCCAATTTTAAACTGAGTCAAATCTCAGTTTAGCACGGCAACAGGAAAGCTGGCATGAAAGCTCAAGTTTTCAACGGCAAAATCCCTCATAGCTAGAAAGGTGAAAGTGTTTTATTGGGGCAGTACTCCATCCTTCTGTCTTGAAAGACACCGATGATGCCATTTTCACCTTCCTTCTAATTTCTCGCGGCATTAATTATTTTTCAGTCATGCATAAGAGGTCTAAATCCTGTCGCTAGTAAGTCTTATATTTTAAAGTGAGAAAGGTACCTTGTTAGGCACCAAATTCAAACTCCCGGCTCTCACTCGCTTCACGGTAGTTGCATTCCCCCCTCCTTCGGAAAGAGGAAGGAGTTTTTCTTACTGCAGTTACATCTGTTTCGCATATTGACTAGCCGCTTGCCAACTAAACGCCTGCGGTTATACTCCCTATCAAGCTACAGAAGGGAACAACAATTGGGCAGTGCGAAGCAGCGCGCCTCCGCTTCTGCTCAACTCGCAGCCGCACAAACATCAGGATTTCCCGGGCCGGCAGCGCGGGGCTCCGCCGGCCTTCCCCCGCCGCAGCCCCGGGGGCAGCCCCAGCAGGAACCGGCCGCCGCGGGTCTCTCACAGACGCCGCTGCCGGCTGCGGGCGTCGCCCTCTCCCGCGAAAGCGGACGGGACGGCCGGGCCCAGGCCCCGAGTGGCTCAAGAGGCTTCTGCGCTCCGCCTGCCACCTTCCCCCGCTGCCTCCCCGCCGGGCGAAGCGCGGCCCGCTGCCCTGCCTTGCCCCGGCGGCGGTACCTGTTGTTCCGGACGCTGCTCAGGACGCACAACACCAGCTCCAGGTAGGTCCTCAGCAGGTCGAGCCAGCGCGGGCACAGCGGCGGCGCCGCCTCCCCGTCGCCCGCCGCGGAGGCGCCCTCGCTCGCCGCCGCCGCCGCTACCGCCGCCCCCCCTCCGCCGCCGCCGCTGCTGGGGTAGTTGTCGGCGGCGAACTGTACGCGGAGCTCACGGACGAACCAGCCACACTTCCGCATGAGGAACTCGAGGCGCGGGCGCTCGGCCGGCGAGACGCGGAGGCTAAGGCGGAGGCGCGGCCACAGGGCCGGGTAGAACAAGCACTCCCGCCAGTGCGAGCAGGCGGCCGAGGCCCGCAGCCGGTCGGGGCCCGCCAGGAAGGAGAAGATGTGGACCACCAGCTCGCTGGGCAGGGAGCCGGCGCCCACCGCCTCCCCGCACACCGACATGCCTGGCGCCGGCCCGAGCCCCGCTGCGGCGGCCCCAGGCGGCGGCCCCGGCCTCGCCTCCAGCTCCTGCGACAAAAACAACAACATCAATGACAAGGCGGAGGGGGCGGGCGCCGGCCGGGACGCGGCTGCTGCCGGGACGCACCACCCGCGCCACCGCCGGGGGGTAGGGGGGGAGGAGGGGCGGAGCGGGCCCTACCACCCCCCAGCGCGGCGGGGAGGGGCGCGAAAGGGGGAGAGGTGGGTCTGGACCGCCCGCCCGCGCGGCGCCGCGTAAGCCCTACCACCCAGCCCGGAGGGGGGTGGTTAATGAACACGCTTCCGGCACCGTCGTCTGTTCCTGCAAGGCGACGAAAAACGCCTCGGAGGAGGGTGGAGGAGCTACCCCGCGGGAGGAATGGAACGTGCCACTGTTCGAATGGGAGGCGGAGCCGGCCCAGCCGCCTCCGCGAGGGGGAGCGTTAGCCATTAACTATGCCGTGCCGGTGGCAGAGTCTGTTGCCGCACAGCTGCGTCCCGCTGCGAAGCCAGCGTGTTCCTAACACCACGCGGCGGAAGCCTTCCTCTCAGCCCCGAAGCATAACCCAGAATAGGGGGCTGAAGCGCAGCTCAGCAGCCGAGCGGAGCGAGGGTGTGTGGGTGCCCACCGGTAACTGGGCCTTGAGGGGCTGCGGGCCTGGCCGGCAGCGCGGCTCCCCACAGCAGCTCCTCCGCCTCAGCGCACTGAGGCGGGGTGACCGGGGCGCGCATCCGCAGCCGTCGCCGGCCCCTGTGGGAGCGCTGGGTGCTGCCGGGGGCAGTGTGCGGGAGAGTCGCCGCTGGCCGCGCTTGCCCCGGGCGCCTGTGTTGAAGAGGACTTGGGTGGGAAGCGTATCGGGCGGCGCCGACGGGGCCCTCTGGCCGCACGTACGCCTTTGAGCCAGCGAAATTGCCTCAGCAGCATTCCAGCTGCCGCCACAGGAAACGCGCTGACTACGCAGGAAAGGCGAAGCGCAGCAGAGTCCGACACGTGACACAGCTGTATACGCGCCTGAAAGGACACATGAGGAAATGCGCCAAATCCTAGTTCCCTCAGTTTCATAAAACTCAGCTTTGTAATAGCCATGCCAGTGTCAGCTGTAGGTGTGTAAAGATAATGTCTCTTGTGCATGCAGGCTTTTGAGAGAATTTAAAAATCTGTTGCATACTGTTGCTGCAAAGGCTGAACATCGAAGTGAATTGCAGTTTCATATGTAAGTTTTACAATTCTAAAAGTCTCATTAAAATAAAATTTAGTACTGCTAGTATCTTAGAACAATGTACATCACTATACAGCAATGTTATGTCTGAGTGTACAAAAATTATACATGAAAAAAAATGGGATAAGAGGAATAAAGCTCAGGCTCCTCTTTGCATTCAGAATAGGGTCCCATTGTGAATAGCCTTATCGACAACCAGATTTAAGCCATCCTCCATGACTGGCCATTTTCTCGCCCCTCTCACAGCAGGGGTGGAACCCCAGTAGTGTTTCTCTTTTCTTGAATCTGGTCATGGAGGAACTGTGACTAAGTCTTCTGTTTCTCCTTGATTATAGAGAATGATCCCAGAGGGGCAGATGTTATTGAGAAAGTGAGACCATAAGTAATTCCCAGCTGGACAGTTCTCCCTTCAGGGACCAGTGCTGCTTCACACACCTGCACAAGTGATTTGGATCTGCACAAACAACTCAGGTAAGCACTGTGCTACTCCCACTGCAGGTTCCCCTATCAGATTAGGGGAAATCCCCCAGGCAGTCAAGATGTAAGGTCTGAAGCAGCCAAACTCACCTGGCCTAGAAGGATACAAATGAAAGGAACTTGCACACCTACATGTCTCCAAATTTTACTACTTACTCAACAATTCCACGTTGTTGAGCTGATGATGAGTCAAAGGACCTTTGAGATTACCAAGTATCTTCATGTAACAGAATCGAGCTTTACTATTCATTGCCCTGGGATTACCAAACTGGCATAAAGAAAAAATGGGTTATAAAGTCAATAGTCCTGCATTTCTGATTGCCTTTGTTAGGTTGTATCAGATCTGCAAATCTGCTGGGATCGTGCCTGTGATAATAAACACAGTGAAACGGTTTGTAACTGTGACAGTTGCATAGTCATTTACTCAGCTCCAGTTTATTTGGGTTATCTTCAGTTTTGTAGGCTCAAGTGAATAAAAGGACCTAAAGCTTCAGATCATCACAACTATGGTCAAGTGGGCTGACATTAGAAATGCCAGGCTTGGTGAGGTTTCCTGGCTCAAGCCATTCACATGGGTGGTGTGGCACTGAGGCAGCCAGATCTCAGAGGCTGCAAATTCTGGACCTTGAATCATAGTTTTCCGTGCTTTGGCTTGACTGTCAGTTGATTTCATGGTGCCAGCTTTTGTTGGTACTAATGCAGCAACTGCAAGTTGATAGGATAATACCTCAGAAAACGATGAGCATCTGACTTGCTTGCAGCCTGTAGGGAGTTCCTTGGTGGTTCCAGCAGGCAGCTGGTCAATGGCCTTTTTGCTGAAGTGCCAGGCTCTCGGTATGACCACTACAGCTCACAGCCCTCTGTCAAGACACAGAGAGTTTTAAAGCTAAGGGGGAGTAACTGTGAATCTGTAAGCTGCAAATCAAAGTTGGCTGAAAGGCAGAGGAGCTATATTGCACATTCTGGAGGAAACTACTGCAGAGCAGTTCGCAGGCAGGGGCTGATCTTCATTTCCTGGGAAGTGACCACAGGCCACAGTCCATTGTGGCTGTTGCACCCAGGGACCCTGGTTCTGCCAGCCTCAACTGCTCCTGTTCCATGATTTTCACATTGCTGGGACTCTCATTGCTCAGCAGCGCCAGCACCATCCCATGAGCAGCCATTCTGGTATGGAAGTCAGGGGTCACATGTGACTCCAGAGCTATGGACTAACCATAATCAAGTTAAAGTTTATTGGACCTGAAGGTCACTGGTTCAGCAGCACACATCAAGACCAGACACTGCCAACCTTGCTGCTTCAGAAGCTCTGTCGTGGTAACTACAGACACCAGGATATGGCTGATGAACAAAAGCCAAAGCACAAGCTTTTTGAATTATTCAGTCCCTCCTTGGGTTTTACGCATGTTGTTAACCACGTTTCTGGAATTGCTGCCTTGTTCTGTATCGTTAGTGAGTTGCTGTGAGCTCAGGAGTTCTCTTGTCACGAGCTGCAAGAACAGATGCACTGAGTCTGAGCAAAGCAGAAACAGAAACCAAGTACTAGTAGGGAACTGGTGCTTCCCCATGCACTGTAACAAACATGTTGAAAAGAGGAGTTACGGGGTTGCAAGAAGACCAAAGGTTCCTCCGTAACCTTCACTTGTAAAATACTGTGTATCAGGTGGTTATTTTAAGGGGAATCGGGCTGCAGGTGAGCACTGCAGCCCTGGGACTATCCCTGTGGTACTGGGGAAAACCACGAACTTGCAGAGCTGAGTGAACCAGCCCAAGCCCCGCTCCCGGGCGGACGGGCGGGAGATTCCCGCACAGCACTACGGTCACACCCACGGCGGCTCCCCCGCAAAACACCGCCGCGGCAAGAACGGTGGGAGGGCCCCAAGGGAGGCGGTGCTGCCGGGCACGGGCAGAGGCAGGGCAGGAGCAGCTGGCGCGGCCTGGCGGGGCGGGGACACCGCCGACGGCCGGAAGTGGCGCTCAGCACAGAGCTCGCCACAGAGCGGGGGGAGGGGGAGCGCACACCCCCCGCGAGCCTTTGGCATTTCCGGCCGGGGTCTCCGTCACATCCGGGCGGCTGAGATGCCGGTAAGGCGGGCGGGGAGAGGTGGGTGCTCCTCTGGGGCTCGCCGCCCTCAGCCGGGCACGGGAACGCAGCGGGCCGGGAGGCAGCTGTGAGCACCCCGCGTTTCCCGCCCCGGCAGCCTCGTCTCACGGCCGCGGACCGACCCCCGCCGTGGGGGAGGGCTGGCGCACCTGCCCGCGTGGGGGAGGGGCGCCGCCTCTGCAAGGCCTCGGCACTTCCACCCTGCCCCGCGGCGCTAGGGTCGGTCTCCCACCGACCCCTTCCGTGCTGCCCCCGTGCCCCTGGCAGAGGTGCGGGCAGCCGGGCCTGACAGCTCTGGCTGTCTACCCCGCGGATGGCTCGGGGCCCGCCATCCCGGGTGCGGGCTGGAGGAGGGCAACGGGTGAGCAGGCGGGAATATGCCCGTGCCCTGGCTTGGGAGCGCTGGCCTGGAGCACTCCGCTTTAGCTGTGTTCATTATCTTGGCCCTTCATGGCAGAAGGGGAGGCTCCTGTACGGAGCATCTTGTGCAGCACCTCTTAGTGTGAGAAGTGCTAGAGGAAGGTTTCTGGGTTCTTTTAGCTGATCCTTTATTCTCATTATTTTTTAATATAGTCAATAGATCAATTGTGATGGAAGAGGGAAAGAACTATACATGGCTCACTTTCTTCTCCCACCGCTAGTGTCCAAGTGCTTTCCCAGTAGGCAAAACCAGGTACCAGCTTGTTCTCATTTTACCTTTTAGCACAAATAGGAAACATTGTGTGGTTAGTTGTGAAGTAACTTCTACCTGTGTTCATCAAGGTATTTCACAATTGGAAATGTAGTGACAGGAAAAGCAGAGATTTTCTGGTGTCAGGTTGTTTGTATACACTTGCCTTTCATCTACAACTTGGACAATTCCACTGTTTTGCAGGCTGGGAATACAGCTCCCTTGTTTCTTGCACACTGTATGTGATTTTCGGTTGATCCCATAAGTTTCCACAATGAACAATCCATTTTTCCATTAAAAATATGTTACTGCAAATAAAATGTGGTAGATAGCCTCTGAAAATTGATTTCACAATGTTAGGATGTTATTTTGCTGACTCAGTGACAATGCAAATACAAGAATCAGGTAAATGAGTTTTCCCAGTACTTCAAAGTATATATTTTACAATGACAAGCAGCATCTTCTTTCTTCTTTTCTTTTGGTTTTTGGTTCCTATCTCTTTATTTTTCCTTTTTTCCTTTTTTTTTTTAGGTTAAATTGAATATTTGTGCAGCACAGCTTCTTGCAGAAGGACCACCACACTGTTTCACACATAGGAAAATATGAGAATAATCAGGGAGTATTGTTCTCTCTGAACTAAAATACAAAATACTCTGTGCCTTGCTGAGGACAGCTGCAGGAATTGGACACTTGAATCAATGTTATCGGATGAGTTAGAATCCAAACCTGAGGTGAGCAATGGTAAAGTGGGTTTAGTGCCCAGCAGCGTTTATGGGCAACACTTAGTTCAATGAGTATACCCAGTTTGCTGCTTACATATTAATTTTCAAAGTGTTTTCAGTGGCATCTCTAATGCT